TCTGTCCATCGGTCCGCTGGATATACTTTCTCTGCCTTGATGTTTTCATCGATCTTCTGGTTCTTCATCACTTAATGTTTTTCATTACTTTTTACATTTTGCATTATGGAGTCTAACAGAGTTTAAGTGAATTAGGGGCCTAAAGTCTAAGGAAACAAAACTTCTAACGACACCAGAGTCAAAAATCACCGATACATAATGGTCGTTTAAAAGAAACGTACCGGTTACCACATTGGGATCCTGACGTGCCTCTTCATCTCCAATCACAAAAGCCCTTCCCCGAGCTTGCATTCCTTGATTCACTGAATTGGTGCGACTTCCTTGACTTCCACTGATGTTGCTCCTTGGTCCTGTCCTCAACTTAGGGCATATGTCCCTAAAATGGTCMTGACTTCCACATTCGAAGCATCTCTTCCTTTCACTATGAGTTTCTCTTTCCTTCCTACAGTACCGTGCGGTGTGTCCTAGCTGATTACACTTCGCACACCGAAGACAAGTTCCGCGGTGGTGACGGTTGCACTTGTTACATTTTGGTAAGAAACCCATGTATGTTCCTTGCTCTTGTGCCCTTACTCCAAAGTTCCTAACTGATTGCGAGCTCCGGTTCGAACTACCGCTGGTCTTCCGTCCTAGTTGATCTTCCGGCTTCCTTTTCCCACCTACATTCACCTTGGCTACTGCTCCTGCTCTAACAGCATCGTTGGTTAAGCGACTTGCTAAAACCATCGCGCTTTGGATGGTAGCGGGGTTAGCGGATGTCACCATCCCTCGGATCTCAGGAGCCAGTCCCCAAATGTACCTATCAATCCTTTTCTCTTCCGGATTCACCATGTGTGGAACAAGCTTGGCAAGTTCATGGAAACGTGTTGTATACGTGTCGACATCTATGTCCTTCATGGTATGGTTCCAGAATTCTGCTTCCAGTTTTTGCACCTCACTCTTAGAGCAGTATTCCTCTATGAGTAGTTTCTTGAAATCTTCCCATGACAAATTGTACGCCGCTTCTCGACCCCTGGTTTGCACTTGGATATTCCACCAAGTGAGAGCCCTGCCTTGCAGTTGACATGCCGCATATTCCACCTTACGATCCTCCGAGCACTTACTAATATGGAGTACAGACTCCATGCTGTCAAACCAGGACAATAATCCTACGGCTCCTTCCTTGCCGTAAAACTCCTTAGGCTTACAAGACATAAAAGTCTTGTAGGTGCATCCTCGATCACTGCCACGATGATCTCCATCATTTCTTCGATGGTTGTTGATGTTGGCGGTAACTTGAATGACAATGCTAGGGATGGCATCTCGAACCTGTTAGGCTATGAGCTGAGCAATGTCTGGTAATCGATTCTCAGGGGCCCCTCCCGTGCTTCGGTTGTTCCTTGTTGACATGATTCTAAATCATTTGAAGGAAAAAGGTTGGGTTAGGGTTGTATATATATATTTATTTATTTATTTATTTTGCAATGAAGGTTTTCCCTCTTTATAACAGTTTATTGGAAAAATAAAACAAGGAATAGCTTTTCATGTATGGACTGAAATAGAAAATTTTAAACAAGCAATTAATATCTTCCCGCAATCTTTTTCCAAAATTTGACGTTATCACGTCATTACAATGCATGATCTTAAAGGAGGGAAATTGGAATACATGACAGAAAATTCTAAAAGCTACGAAGCACAAGGGTCACAAGCACGAGAATCAATATCGCCACCAGAATCGTCACCGTCTGGCACCACAGCTCCATCCTTCTTGCCGCCTTGGTAACCTCTGCGGTCCTCTGAATAGCCTGGATCATGCCTTGCTCCAATAGGTGTGCTACTTCGGTCAGCCTTAGTATAGCCTGGTCCTGGCGATTCACCCTACCCTGGTAGCTTCTAATCTCACCCTCAAGAGTGCTCAACCTCAAGGTCTCTTCAGTTGGTGCTCCTAGATTCCTTGAGGTCGATGCTCTCGGGGAAAAGCAGGAGGGTCCGGCCATGAAGTCCTGGGGTATGGTAATCCCGCTTCGGACTGGGAGAGCGACTCTTTTTCAAGCCGTTACCTTAGTACGAGGCCCTGGGTACATTGGTTCTGGGGCTGGGTTTACCGGTTGAGGTTGGGGTATAACTATAGTAGGGGGAACCGAGTACGAATGAGTGGATATACTGTTGCTCGTCACTTTGATAGATGATTCAGAATTTTCAGACGGGCCCTCTTCTGATGAAGCCCTTGTTACGGATGGTGCCATAGCGACTGGAGTGTTTATATAGTTCGTTAGTACATAGTTTTCGACATTAGTGATACTCTAATGCTAATGCAATAGTGTCCGTAGTGACATCAAGTCCATACAGCGCTCCACAAAGTGCGTATGCACAGTGATCACGCACAAATCCCATGCATGCAAATTTATATTTTTTTTATTAAAATTTTCATACTCCTACTATAATTATCTAGTTCCCCATTAGTATTTCTTAATTAAACACAGGTGATCAGGCTCTGTTTAATTAAGAACTACTATGCGAAGTTAGGCTAACTATACTAGTTGTATGTTGACTATAGTGTAGGTTTTCCTAGGCAAAACCGTCATTCTCTATAGCCATGGCTCTGATACCATGTCTGTCACACCCCGCCGCAGCGGATTCTACGGGATGTTACAGAGCAAGTATGCATGGCACAAGACAAAAGAAAAACATACACCATAGATCACAGTACAAAAGTTACATGGTACGGTTTACATAATTCAT